GTTATTGGACAGTAAGTCTGAATCAGCCTTGTGTACAGAAATGAATGGATGTCATGTTTAATCCAAATTTAGATGTTTACACTGAAAAAGGAGGCTACAATAGATTTTTCTGGTTCAAACAGAAGACAACTTTCATGTTCTTTTCTATTTTGTATGTTGTGTAGACAGTATAGATTTTCCCTTGCTTTTATGTTTGCTATGCTTCTATATTAAAAACAAAACAAAACAAAAAACACACACACAAAAAAAACAAAAAAACAAACAAACAAAAGTACAACTGTGTAAAAATTGAGTCAATTATTGTGAAAATTTGACAAAAACGTTCGTTCTTTCTGTGGTGCACAGTTCAGGGATTCCAGACAGACACTGTGCCCTAGGCTTTTCAAAGTCTGTTGGCAGCTTTATTCTTTCAAATAAGCTCTGTCCCAAGATTGTAGCCAGAGAACCCCACACAGACTATGCCAGTTGGATTTAAAGCCTGACCCACATCCTCATCCAATTCTTATCCTGGGGTAATAAGTGAATTTTTCATTCAAACAGAGGAGTGTGACAAACCAGTATGATCGTATTTTAAACTGGTACAAAGCATTAGGATTCTTTCCACTAGTCTTCCAGTTTATCCTATAAAAATTGTATCAAGGTTAACTAGGAATTTTATTTTGACTATATCTTGTATGTGAAAAGGTATATGTCAAATTGGTGTAAATACGTTTTGTACATTCTCCCCCCCCCCCCCCCTTTACACAGAGCTCTTATTTATCCTGTTTATATCTCCCATCTGCAGTGTGTGTCCTCAAGACTACTCACTGGGTATTCTTCGTATGTGTCTAGAAAGTCTTAATCTTAGTTTACTGTGTGGCTTTTACAAAGACAAACCTTATTCAGGACCTTCCTGGTGAAACTCCACACTGGCAAGTGCAGACTCAATGTTCCTCATGATCTCTAAGGTCTGGGACTCACTTCTTAATTGGTATCTTGACTTTTTTCTGACCACATTAAAAAATACCCTCTCTTTTTTAACTGCATCCTAGCAGGTCTGAAGAATGACTCTCTATCTACTCTTATTAGATGATAATATTAAATTATCCCAACTTAACTAACAAATAAAAGTTATGGACTCTTTCTATCCTTGTATTAATCTTCCTGCCTGCTTCTCTGTCTGCCCATGCATGCACCTCTAAGTTCCTTTTTAGCGGGGGCAAAGTTAATTACTGTTCTGTAATTGGGATAGAAGAAACAACATCAATCTTGAGGAAAGGAAGCAGAATTTTGTACTTTTTATTTGGCAACAGTCAGCTGAACATGTTCGTCTAATTTCTGATTTAGCATAGCACTCTTCTCCATGATGGGGACCATCATAGGTTATATGGGGTGAATTCAAGTATGTCCCATAGGAAAGGTTAAGAAGCAATCCCAGAAAATTTGCAGAAGGCCAGGCTTCATCATTTCGACGTGGTAAATAACTTGCAATAAGTTACATAATCTTTAGTCTGCTTAATAGAAATTTGACCTATATTTTATGTAATATCGATTCATCTTATGTGGACTGTTGTGTGCTTTAGCAGTCTTTTTTTTTGATAGTGGTAGATGTGATAATTTTAAATTTTGGGGCTGTTTTAAAATTATTCTGATTTCAAATCTGTCTTTCCATTAAAAAATGAAGATGTGAACAAGTATGGCAGGCATTCTAGTTAACGGAGCCTAACACTGATGTGAACAATTTCTTCTAACCTTAAGGGTTAACAGCTCTGTCTATATGTAGAAACTTGTGATATATTGCACAGGCTTTACACTGCCTCTTGCTGCTTCTGTATATAGATGTGTGGCACTGCCCTGTCCAGAATCCAGAGAGAATCATCTATCAGCTTCCATATCATCTGAAAAGACAACATCAGGACACTTACATCTTGTAGTGTTTACTACATCACAGTACACTGTAGATCAATGGCACTTTGCTTGAATCATACGTTCTTGCACTTCTGTACAAAAAATAATATATCCACTTTAGACATACCTGCTCCCTTTTTGAGCACTCTCACCTTTTCCAGATTTCCTGATCCAAGGTGGATTAAAGATTACTCACTGCACTGTACAATTGCTTTTCTATTCAAGTGTGTCTGATGCTTGCTAAACCACTTTGTGAAAGCTGTCAATATCTGTACTTTCAGTATCACACTTTCACCAAAATAATTATAATTTCTGGAATGGTTGCTCTTGACACAAGAGGCATTTGAAAAGTGAAAATTATATCCTGGGTTGATTTCAGTACATTAAATTAGTATTTAATAATGTCTCTAAAAAATAAAAAGCTACAGTATTTTATCAGTGTTCTCCAATGAAATGCAGTACAGCAAGCACTCAAGAACAAAGTTTGAAAATTAGAGGAGTGGGGTCATGCTCTTTTACAAAAAAGAAAAAAACCTCCAGGGCAGATAGCCCAGAAACATGTATTTGTCTCCTAAAAGTGCCTCAGCATTCAAGGCATGGCAAACAGGGACACTGAAACAGAGGAGCAAGAAAGTACCACCTCCAGTAAGGAAGTCCACCAGAGATTTTGAGAAGAAGGACCATCCTATTTTCACGGTTTTGCCAATCTGCACTTTGACAGTTAATAACTATGTTATATCAGTTGTCTGGAAATTTGAAGTGCTAATGAATATTTTGTGCATTGGTGTCATATGTTGGGCATTCGGTGTCTGTCACTGACAGATCTAGCTCTACTCTGTCTTATTTACAGGTAGAAACAATTTAATATTATTGTTCTTCATCCAGTGCTGCTGCTACTTGTAAAACTTTCTATCTCCAGCATTCTGCCCCTTCATCGTTTCCAAATGTGGGAATTAGACTTAGATTAGTAAAAAATGAATTTTCATATTAATTTTAGAAATGGTTTCTGTTCAGAATTTGATTGCTCAGAAAACACTAATTTCTCAGAATTTGTTTGTTTTTTGTCTAAACAACCTGAGTAACAGATAAAGTGAGTAGGCATGAGGAGGACAGGCAAATAATTTACTTGAGGCTTTAGGCTCTTCCATCTTTGCACAAGTCATTCAGATGACTAACACAGGATTCCTCACGCTACACAGCTGTGCCTCCTTCAAGTGTCAAAACAAGAGACCATGGAGTAGCTATACGCAAATGGCAAAAATAATCTTTATAAAAGGAAAGAAATTAACAGATTTTATTGAGAAACAGGTAAGCCAGCTGTTACACAGCAGATAATACCATTTCACAGAATTTGAAGACAAAGTGCATAATTTTTCTGGAAGTGAGGTAGCATACATATTCACACTATGGCTCTTCAAGTGGAGAACAGGAAAGGTAAAGATGGATGTGGCTTATCTTCTGCTGAAGCCTTTGTGTATCTGTGTAACTCATTAAGCAATCCTGGTCAGAAATTATAGTCTAAGGCATTTCCTGATGTTTTCATGACCCAGTGAAAACATGAAGAGGTACTAAACCCAGCTGGTCATTAACTCCCCTCTTAATGCCCTGGGCTGATTCATGATGTCTATAATAACCAAATCAATTTGGCTTCACTGGTCAATTAAAGCCTCTGAGTTCCTCCTGTGTTGCCATGTTTCTTCTCATTTGGTGTGAGGATCAGGCTTACACGCTTTCCAGCCAGGCTGGGACTCTGGTTTCACCTGAAGTGCAAACTTGTTCCACAGAGTCTGTAAAACTCCATTTCTCTCTTTCAACTAGCAGGAACAAAAGAGATGGTAATAAAAACAGCTACACAGATATTAAGCATTATCATTTTGAATACTGAGGAGTTTTGTTTCATCCCTACTAACTGCTGTTTTATTTAGGTTCTTATAGAAACTCAATCATATTTCTCCATTTATCAGTCTTTTTCTGATTACATTTTCATGTATTCAAAATCTATTGTTAAATACTCATATATATGAGTATATATATATATATATATATATATATATATATCTGCTAAACAGGATTGTTCAAAGCTTAAATG